AGCATGTTCAGTATTATGTTAATTCTGTAGTAATCCATCTAATCCATTGCATATAGACAATATTAGTTACAGTCTGAATGCCTAACATGTTTATACTGATCAGGGATTAGACCCATTCACTGCAGCCATACACTAATGGAACTTACCAGAATCTGGTAGAGAAACTGGGGTAAAACTGGGGTAAAACTGTGCAGATATAGGTGTCATGTCCACTTATGAACCGGCTATTGCCAGCTCTTCTGCCACCTAGTGGCACAGCACTATAATAGACAGACACCCCAAGGGAGCTGATCCTGTCCTCTGACTTGGATCACAACTGCAATTTGCATCTGTTTTGCTCACCAATATAAGTGAATTTAATGTTAATGTGCCATATATCCAGGTCCCTACTTCAAACGAACAAACAAACAAACAAACTCTATTAACTACTACATTGCAAGATACAATTCATCAGTCATTATAATGGTCTGGACAGAGATTTGCAAGTCCATTCATAGCATCTGGGGAAATAAGCTGTTACCTACAAAAATGTATGCATTTAGTCTCTAAGGCCTTTAAGGTCTACAGACCTTTAAAAGAAACCTCACCCCTCCCAAAACCCCCCAAAACAGCACTTTACTTGAAACTCCACATGCTCCTGCACTGAGCCCAGTACATGCCCAGAAGAAGGATCGCATTTGTTGGACCTGGCTCGCCCGAAGCCTGTATAGATCAGGCACTTTAGTGGGGCTTTTTTGGCATTTTTATCTAATAGCTGATTGAAGGCCCTGCTGAAGCACCCGATTTATATAGATGCTGCAGAGGTGAAGTGAACTAATGCACTGCTTCTTCTGGTAAAGTGTGTTTTTGTTTTGGTTTTTTTAACATCTGTAAGCAGTGTGAGATGCCACCCTGCTCTGCTTTCTGTCTAACTACATCTCTCTAATGCAGTTTAATCTTCATCCCTTTGAAACAACATAAATCTGTATGAATTGCTTTTCAGAAGGTTTTCACTATATCATTAAAATGTTTAATTGGCACCCTATATAAATAGGCTTCCTACTCAGATTTATGAGGACACATAATAAAAGATATAACACAAAAAAGAGCAAATTTTACCTCAAAAGCTTCAATTCTTTTTTCTTTCTCTGTTAGCTGCTTTCTCAGTAACATAATTTCTGCTGATGCTGGATTTAATTTGGGGTCTAAGGTTTTTATGACCTGTGTAAATAAAGTGAATATATTATGTTTGATCTTCAACAGCTTCACATTTTATCCAGTTATATTAGGCAGGTAGGCAAAAATGTGCAGCAGTCAATCAAGATGAAGAACACAACACACATCAACAATGACGTATCCTGTTGTTGGTTAAAGTGTATTCTGTGCTAAATATAGTGGTCAAGTGACCAACCGGAATCAAGGAATTTGAACAAAAAATGCACAACCAGATGACTTCTTTTAATAAAGACTATCTGAGAAGTTTGTGAGCATCACTGATGTATGGGGAAGGGGAGGTGGGGAATGAATTTGCTGTGAACCATTCGACTTACATTTCTTGCTTTCTCCAGGTACATTTTATATCTTTCTTCCATTGCTTTCATATCTTCATCTTTTTTACGCAAAGCTGCCTCTAGTGCCTCAATCTTTTTAGCTATTTGGGGGAGGGGGGACAAAGCAAAACACACGCCACATTTTAAAAACACCAAAAATAACGACAGCAGATATTTTAACCCCATCAATATTCTGCTTACAATATAAAGCTGTAAGTGTTAGATTCCTGAAGATCAGTAGAACATACAATGTTCTAGTATAATTTAGAGAGGAGAAAAATAACTTTTCATCTACTTAATGTATGTTTGGGGTAAAATGATCATTATATAGCGATATCTAAGACTGGTGTCCCACTATGTTGGACACTATACTAATATCCAGTCAGACTGATGTTTATAAATTCTTTTTCAGGCTTAGAATTTTCATTAATTGATTATATCTGATGCAGCAGATGATTATGATGACAGAAGTACACTGAGGAGCAAATACTATGGGTCTGCATGAAGCTACTTACAGATCTGATTTCCATCTGGCCGGAGTGCTGCAACAACTGCCTCTTTTTTCTGCAACTCCTCATGGACTTCATTCAGTTTTTCCCTATGGATTCAGAGATTTGATCCAGAGGATAGATTCACAATGCTATCCCATGCATTCAAACACACATATACACGTGCACACATGCTAAAAACTGAAAACTTTGTTTGAAGTCTAAAGTAGGAGGATAACTTGATTTAAAAAAGGTGAAACTTTATATGGAGCTAGTGTCTCAAGACAAAACCAAAAAGTTAATGCATTTTTTTAAAAGCATTCTGAACTGAGACTTGGTAGTAGGCTGGAGAGGGGAGCAACAAAAGGCTCATCTAATTCCAGACTGACAGGAGACAATTTCTTTCAGACAGAAACAAGTGATGTTGAGAAATATTTTTTCAGCACATTGAAATGGATCTGGCAATGCCAAAAAGAGATTTATGATTATAAGAAACATTGTCTGAAGTCATAACGTTAGAACCAAAGCATAGAATTGCTTGTGCTGATGAGCTGTTTAACTTTGAATCTTTCTTCTTTAGTCTAGGGGCAGAAATTACACATAAACCAGTATAAGTGACCAGAAACCAGTTCAAATCTGGAACACAACAGAAGTTCAGCGTACATAAACCACTTTCAAAATGGCTGAAACCAGTTTATGATAAGCCTGGATGGATGTAGTTTCAGACAACTGATTTAGATTAAACTGATTTATTAAATTTCTGTCCCAGATCCCCTCCAGATTCAAGTTAACTTACAGTCCCTAGCATCCCATGATGGTTTGCACCTCCCCAGCAACCCGCCCTCCTAGAAGTGGGGGCAGGCTAACTTTGGCCCCAGCTGTCTACCCCAGCCAAGCAGGGAGGCGTGCTCTGGTGTGTCCCAGCTTCTCGCTTGGGCCACTGTAGGCACATGGCTGCATTTCCAGAATGAAAACTGAATGTCTGTTAACTTGCTTATCAGTTCAATCTATATAGCTTAGACTAACCTGCAAAGACTGAAACAATTCAGCTTCAGGTTTTTTGACTGTCTGTATTTAGCTCTAGAGGCAAGCCTGATCTTTAATAGTGTTTTAATTTTATTCACTGCATGGGTTAAAATATTAAATAACAAGTGACAGTTTCTTTTTTGTTATAAGTATCAGTTTTACTTACATCTGTGCTGCTAACGTCTGCTTCAGTTTGCTGGACTATAAAGAATTAAAATTCAGTTAAACAGCCTGGTCACATGAAAAATGCAATACTACAAATGCAGACAAATGGGAGTCCCACACTTACAAATATTTTTTTAAAATCTTTTCAAAATGTTTATATACACAGACTACATAATAAGAATATATAATAATTATACATAACATATGTATATATAAACGTGCGTGTATATATGTAAGATTTAAGATCAAATTCAAAAAACAGTTCAATAAAGTTCTACAGGTCTATCATACATTAGCTCAGACTACATCACCACTACCTAATAAAAAACGGTTGTCTTGATGTCACAAGAACTATCAGCACTGTCAAGACTGAAAGAGAAAAAAGGCATATTTTCTTTTACAGTTAAAAGGGTTTGACACTAGATTCAAGCATTTGGGCAAAACTGTTAAGAGGTTTCTAAGGCTCGAGGAGTCTGGGCTTTCACTTACTCCTTCAGTTTTGGATCCTTGCTCCTGCAAAGTCTTTTGGAAGTCTTCAATCTGCTGCTGCAGCTCACCGATACGCTCTTTGCTTAGCCTTTCCAGGGAACAAGAGGGGAGGGGGGGAAAAAAAGGTAATTTGTCTTCTAATAAAAAGGTAAATAACCCACATACCTACAAGCCTGTGTTATAATTCTGTAATGGATTTATATATATGGAGGGTGCATCTACACAAGATTTTTACTGCACAGTAGTCTAATTAGCTATTCAGTAAAGGTCTTGCATCTACACATGCACCTCTATTAGGCTGGAATAAACTAATTTACTCCTCAGCAGGACAGTACTTGAAAATAGTAAATACAAGTACTATCCTGCTGTGAAGTAAAAAACTCTGCAGCTGTGCGTGTGTAGACGCTGCCCCAGATGGCTGGAGTAGCAAGGATGCTTCAGTGCAGGGGCTGCCTGCCAGCTAGCTCTGCACTAAAGCTCCCTTGTGCCCCAGCCAGCCCCTGCACAGTACAATGAGCTGGGGGAGCAGCCCCAAGCTGACAGGCAGTCGACCCCCTGGGTCTGCTGCCAGCCCGGGCTGCTCCAGCTCAATGTGCTGTAACCACAGGCGCTTGTGGAGATGCACACCTGGGATCAATAAACTCTGGAGTGATAAGCTCTGGAGTTTATTCACATGTATTAATATGCACATATTAAAGAACCTTGAAAGTTTGAAACCAAGATATTCCTGGTGTAATCAGATCTAGTCACTGCTGCTGAAGACAAATGCTTAGAATATTTACTGGAAGTTTAACAGCTAAAGGTCTAACTTTTCATCTAAAGAAACAGTTTGGGGAAGTCTTTGCAAAAGTGCCCGTGGTGTTGGGACCAGAAAAAGTGCTGTTCCCTGGATCTTCAACATTTGTTTCTTATTTAGTATCACCCTTGAATAACAGGAGTTGCCCCATCTTCTGCCTGTTGAACAGAAGCGGACATGCTCCTTTGCCAGTCTCGAGTCTAAAACCTAGAACTTCTTGGAAATTAAACGTGCATGCATGAGTGTGTGCATGTGTTGGGGAAGGAGGGTGAAGTGAGGTCTATATTTGACACCACAGGTTACACTACTTTCTAGGCTTGCAGCTTCCCGACTTGCTCACCCACATTATAATGACTACATCAATAATTCCATTAGCCAAGAGGACAGGATAGGTACCTTCCTTCAACCAGAACAGGATCAGAAAAGTTAGTCACACCCATTCCCTCCTAAGGTCAGAGTCTCAAGTTTATTTGCTCTTGTTTAAACTCCATTCACCTTTTTTCTGTTTCTAGTTCATTCATCATCCGATGCTTTTGCTCTAGCTGCTCCTGGAGTTCTACAATACGTTCATTTTCTGATCCTTCTTGTTGTAAAACAAGCATCTTATTTTCATGTTGCAGTCGAATAAACATTTCTCTGAAGTTCAAAAACAAAAAGTCACCATTCTGTGAAGTATATTTTTATAGTTCTTTCCTCAAAATGTGATTTAAATGGAAGAGGTGGCATTTTGCTTAACTATGATATCAATGTTTTTCATTAAAACCAAGTACCATAATGTGCCGTTTCTGTTAGCAAACACATGGATTTCCCAGAAATGAAATAGGTAGTAAATAATAAGCAGCTATTCAAGGCATGACTTTACTCTCACTGTTTAGTGTACAGGCCTAGACCTTACGCACAGTCCAATATTCAAACCCTGTTTGAAGATGGAATTAATTCCATCTTGGTATTTTTATGGTGCTCATCACTATAACACCAAGTGCTTCACAGACCTTCTTTGATTTAACAAAATCTTCAAGGTAAGGTGATTCTTTTACCTCCATTTTAGACTTGGGGCTAAGGCACAGAGATGGCGTAGCTGAAAAAATACTCACTTTTGGACATTCAAATGGAGAAGCTTAAAACCACATTTTCTAGAGCACTCAGAAATATGGGCACTTTGTATGTTCAATGCACAGCTCCCACTGACTTCCATGGAACTGGTGTTCAACATGTGGGTTGCTCCACAACCAACTGACTTAGAGATGCCCACCCTTTCCTTTCTGTGGCATCAAGTCCCAAACTCTTTGCCAGCAATTCCTCTACCTCTAATCTACTCCTTTCTGTCTGCTGCTTGTAGATCAGACAGGTTCCTTCTCCACGTTGCTTGGAGTTCAGTGAGAGCAGAGACAGGATCTATGCTCTGTTTCAGTGCCGGGTCACACTACAGCACAACCTGAAGCAGCAGTTACAAGGAACTTACTTGGCCTCATGACCCTGGACCAGAGCATGCTCAGACATTCTGTGGAAATTGGACATGCAAAACTGCATCCTCATTAAGCACATAGTCTTTGGAGATTTTAGCTGCCAAAAGGCAAGTCTTTACCAAGTATGAATGGACAATGATTTTTCAGGAGCTGTCAGCAAGGACAACAAAAGGCATATCTTAGACACATTTTTAAGTCCATGTTCCAAATACTAAGGGAGTAGAGTATCTCATTGATTTGCTGATGTTAAAATGCATATATGATCTTTATTTTCCAGAAATGAATCCAGGGAAATATCCACATCACTTTGCATTTTGGCTAAAACTCTCAAGCCCTCCCCAAACAGCCTGTGGCACCCACCCAGCCTTTAAAACAGGGGCAAGCAAAATGCAGCCCACCAGACCATTCTATCTGGCCCACAGGGACCCTAAAAAATTGAGAAAATTAATATTTATCTGCCCCCGGCTGCCTGTCATGCAGCTCTCAATGGCTTGCCAAAACTCAGTAAGTGACCAACTCTCCACCCGAAATAATTGCCCACCCCTACTTTAAAACCTTAGATCACATGTTTAACTTCATCATACTTTAAATCAACTAAAATTGTTTTTTCTAATGGAAAGTGTTGGTCACCCTGAACAGGTGGTAGTACAAGCCCTCCCTATAATTCTACTAGACTTCAAGGTATTCTGTTCTTTTAATTTTACATTTACTATAGGATTATGAGGACACCACACCACTACTTTTCAGAATATATGTCCATTTCTTTTAGAGTAAAATCTTTAATAAAAAGACACACTAACTCTTGAAAGAAGGAACTATATAAAAAGGAGAAAGATATTTGATTTGGGTTCTCAGAATACTATTTTTGTGAAGTTTTATCCTATGTCCTCCCAGACTTTCCCTGTGGCATGTGACATTTTTTAATCACTCTGCTTCAGTTTCTTCACCAGCAAAATGAGCATTGTTTCTTATTTCTGAGGATTCACTTTCAAACATATTTTAAAGCATTTCATCATCAATATATGAAAAGTATAGTATTGTCATGATAAATTTGGACTCGCCCCAAAATTTAGAGCTTGAATCTGGAGAAGCAACAAATACAAAAACTGATATTTTACCCAACAAATTTTGAGGCAATAAGCATTTACAAGACAGGGATACAGTTCAAAATTATTTCCTTACCTATATTCCACTGGCAACATTTCAGCAGCAAGATTTTCATGACTTTTCATAGCAGATGCATCTGAAAGGGCATGACAAATTAGATTCCAGACAATGTAACATATTAAAAAACAAAAAACCCCATCTCTAGATTAAAATACATACTTGCTTGATTCAAGTGATCCTGCTGCATCTGTGAACATCGAAGCTCTTCGTTAGTCTCTTTGAGAGCATCGCGCTGTACAATCAGCCTCTAGGGGTAGGAGAAAGAAGACAGCTGAGATAGAAAAGATGTCAAACACAACTGTTTTATGCTAGGGCATTGTGTCAGTCATAAAACTTTTTTTTTGGACAAGAGTGTATTCTGTAGACCTCTGATGATGTCTGAAGTGAAATAACTTGGTATCTACCGAATTATAGCAGCCAGCATATCAAAGCAATCATATTTCATGCTAAATCTCATCCTTGCAGTACCAATACTGCTCAGAAATTATTTTCAGGATGACCAAAGCCTACAAAAAAAAAAAAATCAACAAAGGAGAAGGGGGAGGGGAGAAAGGTCCTAGTACATTTAAACAAACTCTCACTCATAAAACTTACGTCTTTTTCTTTGATTAAAGCCTCATGTTTTTCTTCTAGTCGCTTCATTTCAAAAGCTAGCTTATCAGCTCTTTTGGATTCTTCTGAAAGTTTGTTGTGAAGTTCCTGAACCTTACATAAAGGCACGTGAACATTAGAGTCAGTATATGTTTCCAGGTTTTTGTTAAAATATTTTTTTAGTGACATGGCATTTTCAGGTAGATTGGGAGTGGGGTGGGGAAGAGAAGGTAAAGAGAGACAATGTTAGAATAACTCCTGACTCTGAACATACAAGTTTCTTCAGCTGACAGAATCCAGGCAAGACTAGCTAGCTGTATAGAAAAAATGTTTCTCCTGCCAGATTCAAACACCATGTGCAGCTCATGTTGGCCAAAATCTATTTCTGTTTTTAAAGAAGGGTAGAGAGAAAATACATTGAACCAGTCTGGGGATTTTTTAGAAACAAATTGTTGAACACATCTAAAATGAAAAGACAACACTTTAAAAAAAATTCTATGCCCAAAAATTAATGAGAGGATGTCAAATGCAAAAGAACACAGCTGTTTAAAGAAAAAAAAATCCCTGTAGTCCAGAAAAAGACACTTTAAACTACTGGTAGAGGGTGCTTATGCTATGTGCCCAGAGCCAACGCTCAAAGAATAGACTCTGTCCAACTACCTGGACAGATGAGGAAAAGGGCAGATTGGGAATGAATGGCAGAGCCTGAGGATTTCCTCAGGAAAATATCACCAGCTATAAACCTTGAATCCTAAGAACTTGTAATTGAAGCACACTTACTTTCCTTATCTTTAACAATTTTCTATTTAAATAATCATATATTTTCATTAAAAATGCCATAGGGTAATTAGTATTCTGTTCTACCTGTTTTTTGTATGTTTCTAGTTGAGCACGCGCTGCATTTGCCTTCTTCAATTCGTCCTCCAGACTCACTATATTGTGCGTATAGATCATGTTGGCATCTTGCAGAGACTTCACTTGTTTGCGAAGATCATTCAGTTCCTCCAGTTTTTTGCGATATACTTCAACTGCTGCCTCAAGTTTACTTTCCTTATCTGCAAGAGTCCTAGAAGAAGAAATATGGATTATAGAAAAAGCTAAATGATTTTTTCAGACAGAAACAAATGAAAAATGATTAATTCTACCCTCATTCTCAAGTACTGCTCTAATTAGCTGGGGAGAGATAAAATAAAATGTTCCCATGCAAGTACTTGAGGGTAGAATTAGGTGTTTTACTTAAAGCCAAATGCATTATTTTGAGTTTTTAGCTGCATGTCAAATGCAACAAAGGAACATCCAACCAGGATGGGACCAGGTCTTCTGTGTCACTGCGACCAGTTGCTGCATTTGCAAGCAATCATTGCTGAAACATGTCCACTTTGAACTTAAACACTACCACTATGATACAGAGAACTAAAAAAAAACCCCACCCTAAATATGTCACAAATAAAAGCAAGGGAGATTAAGGAACTGCCAATGGCCCCAGGGATTCAAAACGGGACAGATGTACCACAAGTGCACTGTGCCCTTTGCTATGGACTGCATCTTATTCAAGCCAGTAAAATAATGCAACCTGCATCTAGCAGGCTCATTAGTACACATTATGCAAAGAATTACACATTTGTTGTAAAATATACAATGTGACCAACAAACAGAAAATGATAATCTAAGAGGCATACAGAAGAAAGTACTCTAGCCAAATAAAATTACCTATAAAGGTAAAGGAAAATTAAATCAGTCCCTTCACTTGGTATCTTAGCACATTAATAATTAGTAGAGAAATACTAAAACAATTAAGCGTATCATAATAAATGTTACATATTAAAGAATTGGAATCTCTTTTATTCCATATTATTTTCTGCATATGAATTAACTTTTATTCCACATTAATAAGTGAGCTATTATGGGCATAAAAGTGGTTAGACATGGTTACAGTTCTACAACCATGCTAGCATCCTATTTGCTTTGTGTATTTTCTTGGTATCCTGTTCAAATTTATATACAATCAAATGCTTGATCAGCTTTCATTAAGTTGTGTTTTATTACAATTTATCTTAAGTAACAAGCCTGAACACATCGTCTACCTGCAATACAGATATAAACACTCACGTTTCATTTTTACTAGGTTTGAGCCTCACGCATTTGGGCAATTTTATTTTTTCTGCATTATAAAAAGGCAAATCTTCTTCCTCTTTACCAGCAAGAGAACAATCACATCTATTAATCTTGCTTCCTGTGGAAGCTTTTGCATAAAAACTTCAGTGTTCTGAGCAGTGATTGGGCCAGCACACTTAGGCTGAAATCCTTATAAGTCTCAAGTACATTTAACCTGTTGCTTACCTCAAACTCAGGTGTCCCCTGAAAGGCAAACCTATTATACCTGAATTTCCCATTGTGGAAATGGGAAGCCTAGTGCACTCAAAATTTAATCCCATTGCACCCTGCAGGGGCATTTAAATCTCCCATCTGGGGAAAACAAAGGAGGCAATCTTATTCTGTATATTGGTCCTATTCTGCTGAATAGACATGCAAACACCTCTCATGCTACAGCAACCAAAACACTTGTATGTGTGTGCTCTATTGAGGAAGAAGAATCACTAAATTCAGTAAACAAAGATGGTGTTTATTTGGGATCTAATGTATAAGGATTATAGGAGTTTTGGAGTGGGAACTAAAATTACCAAAACAAGTTTTATGGGAGGACAGGTGAAGGCAAGGAAGCAGAACAGAGATGCACTTGAACTAAGCCACAAGGGCAGGGCCAGTTGCATATAGATGTATACAGTTTTAAGTTATAAGTAAATAGTTTAACGTTAATGTTAGTTCTAACAGTGTGTGTCTGTATTTGCTTGCTCTCTTACTCGCCTCCTTGACACTAATCTGGCCAGCTCAAATTCAACAGGAGTGGAGAGTGCTCTCAGCCCCACTTAGCCCATGGCATAATGATTAAAAATGTTATTCTAGGAAGTGCAAAATAAGGCATTCAACTTAGATCAAGAAGATGTGGGACCTAGAACCTGGAATTACCATTTACTGGGAAAATCCTTTAATCACTAGGATGCTAAGCAAAACGTGCTCTATCACCATATTTAATTTTGGTGTCAATGAGACACTGTTCCTGCTCATGCATTCAAGAATATGCACAACTAATTACAAATGTTCCCAGCTACAGCAGAATCAGAAAGATGTATAAGAAGAATTAGATCCTTTGGTGGCTGCCTTGGATTCCTTCTGGGTATTCTAGGGCAGACAAGTCAAGGCACATCGTGGACCACAGAAAGCTTTTTCAGTGACAATGGAGGCCCCCTTCAGGGACCCATATGAAACTTAAAGAACATGGATTAAAAAAATGGAATCTATGAAGTTTTGTGGGGCTTTAATGAGTAGCCATTTAGCAACCTAGGCACCCCTAAGGCTTAGCAGAACTGAGGTCCTACAGTTCATCTTCCAGTTTTATTAAGTGTGCTTTTCTTTATGCTTGGTTATGGTAAGAGCTAAAATCAAGTAATACTGCAAAGAAGTCTCCGTCTTTAAATACTGATACTTGATACTTGATACTGTCACTGAGACGCTCCAGTGTGAAGGACAATTATATCTATTACGTACCTAAGAACATCAATTTCATCTTTCAAGGCCCTAGATTCTTCTGCTAGGCATGTCAGTTCATCATTTCTATGTTGCAGCTCAATTAGTTGTTTCTCCAGATCTTCACAGTGTAAACGATAATCATCCTTTGCAGCTTCAAGCCTTTTAAAAGCATAAAAAATTTATAAATCACATTTTTATCTGTCACTCATGTCACTAATATGTTCCACCTTCTAAAAAAAACAAAACAAAAACAGCTTAAATCAAATACATAAAAAGAGACCATAAAATGTCACAGTAGGATACAAATGTATCATATCCATGTGAAACTATGACTAAAACTGGCAGCTTTTGTCTTAATTCCATATTTGAAGGAGTGCCCACTTCCTTTAACTGCCGTAAAAATATCATTTCAAAAGAGATACAGACACCTTTCCCCTGACTCCCTCATTTTATGAAAAAGTTCTTAAGTGGTCTCAGTATGATAACCAAGGTAGCAAAACCAAGCTGGGTCTTTAAAAATGTATTTTGATTGGGTAAAGGTATAGAGGAGCTTTAAGAAGAAACTTGGAAGCAGAAAATCCTGCAGATTTATAGAAAATGTCCATGACATTTGTCAGTGTTAAGTGTTTTATAACTTGGTTTTGGTCTCCAGGAAGATGAAATAGGGTTCAAATTATTTCATTTATTTCATACCTGTAGTTTTCTTCTTGCAGTTGTTCTAGCTGCAACTGTGCATGGACATACTTTTTTGTGAACATAGTGTTTGGATCATCAAAAGAATCATCCAGCTGCTCTAATTTGTGATTCATAACCTCATTTTCAGACATCAGGCTGTTTTTTTCATCTTGAAGGGCAGCCACCTAGTGTGCATAAGATGATATATAACATTATAGTCCCATCCAGTTGCAGAATAGAACTCAAAAAATGGAGTGTAAGATATCACCAAATAATTCATTTGGCACATAAAAGCTGAGCATTTTGAAAATTCAGAAAGTTATTTAAATAAGATATACTAAGATGACAGATGTTTCAGTGCACGAAAATGATGAAGTACTAAAAGAAAATGCATTTTATATTACTTTTATAATAAAAAACATCTTAAAGGCATGCAGTGTTGTAATAAATAGGGGAAGCAATTTCCAGTTTTATTGAGATTGAAATGAAATAAACATGTTAAAACTACTTTGGTAAAACAATACCCATAGAACCTGTACAGAAATAATAATAGTAGCATGAGGAGTACTCCCCACTTGACCTTTAAATTGATAATACAAAGTAGCATGGCACTAGGTACCACATTAAAACTGCCGTGTGCTCAGCAGTGAATGGTTGTGCAAAAAAAGCAGGTCCAGGAGCCATAAATTAATAAGCGCACACGCAAAAAAAACCTCAGCAGCTTCAGAAAGGCATGCATTTTTGCAATGACTGAACAAAATCTTAATTTGGAGAGTGTTCGCAGCTAAGCAAATGAGACCACAATATTATATTAAAACAGTAAGTCTATTAATAGCCATAAAATGGGGGGGGGGGAATATTAAAAGTACAGAACCTTATAGATTTTGTGTTAATTTTAAAATCCTGTCAGAGCATATAGGATGTGTTAGTTAACTGGCATTAAACAGACAGAATGCATTCTTTGGGTTACATTTTCCTGAATCATAAAAGAAACCTACCTTTTTTATATTCTTGGAAAATATCAAGGAAGATTGAGACCTTACAAGTGAATTTATTAAAAAATTAGTTTAAATGAGAACTGTCAGTCATTACTATGACTTTCAATACATATACAGCATTTCAGGTGTCAATACCGATAGCAAATTGGCATAGTACAATAAATGGTGCTACAATAACAGCTTGTTATTTATCTGTGATCGCACTGTAGGTTACATAATTTTAATCAAACAGAAATAAAAGAAACAAGTTGTGCTCTCCCTGCTCTTCAGTGAATAGTGACCTTCAAGGTGCATTTCCTTTTACATCTGGGAAGCCAACTTACCTTATGTGCATTTGTAGAACCTAGAGCACATCTGTTTCTTAGCTAATAAAGTAATTCCTTTACAGGATCCAGAAAGGTGTCAATTAAGGAAGGACATTAATATTTTTATTTTAAAAGTATGCTCTTTTGTAAACTGTATGTCCTAGGCCTCAAAGAACGTCACATAACTAAAGCTTTCCCCTATCTTCATTTCACGTCCCTGAAGAATCATATTGACTACATTCTGCTTCATTTTGACTTTGCATACGGTATGACAACCATGGAACAACATAGGACCGTGAAGTCACAGGCATATAAAGTACTATTTTAAAACATATTTTAATGAATTTTAGTCCCCACTTGTACATTTACACTTAACAATAGACCTTTAAGGATTACTGGGCCATTCTCTCCATCTGTTATGACCAATCAGTTATGTGAATTACCATCACTATCCCCTCTAAAAAAGTCTACAGTACCTCTGTGAAAGCTTTAGATTTCTCAGAATGGGACACGCTAGACATTGAAGTAGAATCGTAAAGGGCTGTTTGGGATCACAGAAGAAATTCTCACTATAAAGGTACATGCTGAAAATTTTTTGCCTTACTCCCTGGTGAACACAAAAAGATACAGAGTAGGTGCAGTTACAAGAAAACATTTACTAGAGCATTTCTGAAGAAGTGAGTGGATCAGATTTTGAACACTGGACATTTTTAAGGTGAAGGCACTTTCAAGTTTCAGTGGCAGCCTCTCAGATGAAACACAGTTGCAAATGAATCTTAAAACTAGAAAAAGAATGGGAACACTATCTGGTAGAGCAGAGGCATTAGTCAACTCAGCCTGACTTTACTGATGTGCGATCTGAAGTTAGGCACACTAGATAAAAAAACTAAGATAAGGGATGGAGCAAGAACAGTATTTTTTACCCTCTGGGAAGAAAAATGACACAGAACAACTATACTGTTGTCACCGATAACCAGTTAATAGTTCTAGTAATACTTGTGTCCTAACTGAAGTTGTGCTATACCTCGATGTACTCTGCAAAAACACTCCACTTTACATGTGGAGTTCCATCATGGTCATTTCTATATCTCCATTTTTACTGAGACAAATTATCACTGCCTCATGTAAGAATGAGGAATCAATGAGATTCTAATAAATTTCCTAGGCATCTGTCACCTGCAGTTAGTGATAAGGGGAAGGATATTAGAGAGATATTTTGTTCTCCCTGTGAGAGTACATTTCAGAATAAAAAAAGGAATTGGCTCTCAGTGAACTAAAAGCATGCACACTTAAAAAGAGTGAACATTTAACTCCTATACAAAAGGCTAACACAAAGTTCTAACTTTAGATGGGCAAATTGAAGAAAGGTTTCTTTTCATGTGTAGCTCCTCGCAATACATTATATATGTAGAAAGTAAAGATACTATACTTGTGGCTGTGGAATGAGATACAGGGAGCCAGATGGGATATAGTGTAATTTTTATTTATCCCTTTAAAAAAAATAAAGTAACATTTTTAAAAATTATTGATCACAGGAAATTAGAACTTAAAAAGATAAAAAAAACGTAAACTTTTCTCTTGAATAAAAAAGGGCCTGGTAATGTTTGGATGGTTGAAAAAAATGTCAGCAAGGACCCATTCATTTGAAATTGTTTCTAACTAGTTTAGTTAACATATGCAAACTTCCAGACTGGAGCAAACAGGGAAAAAATATTTGATTTCACATACACTTTCCTCCAAGTTCTTTTTACTGAAAATGCCCTTCAATTTTTCCCTTTAGTAAATGCAATCAGTTACACAATATTTTAAAAAAATCTTTTAATATATTTTCTAAAGAGGTAAATCTACTAATGCCTGAGAGATGGACACACCCCTCCGCCCCCCCGTGAAGATTTCTATTATGCAAACTATAGTGTTGCAATAATAGCTTGCTACTAGCTGAAAGTTATCAAGCTATTATACCAAGAAACATTTCATAGCATAGATTAACAGTTTACTTTCAGCAATTATATAGAAGCTGAAAATTTATTTAAAGTACTATCTTCTAATATAATTGATGCTGCATTTCACATTGATGCTGCATTCCAAAATAAAGTTCTGGCTTCTGCACAAAATGCCCAAGACACATATGCAAGAAAAGTACTATCTTCTAATATAATTGATGCTGCATTTCACATTGATGCTGCATTCCAAAATAAAGTTCTGGCTTCTGCACAAAATGCCCAAGACACATATGCAAGAAATCTGATTTCTAAAGACATGGTGAATTTTGCCATTGTCTAACAGTCCCTATTAATGGAATGTTCATCCCTTCTTTTAGGAAAGTAGTTGCCTGCTTCTTACCTGAAGGTCTAGTTCTTGGCATCTTTGCCTTAATTCCTCTTTTTCTGCAAGTGCTTCCTGCAGGTCTTCCAGTGCCCTTTTAAGCTTAAATAGACACGAATTAACACAGGTTAGTTTCTTTGTGCTTTACATCCCTGTCTGCTAAATGAGGGCTACCTTAGTCTAAATTCCAGCAACATATCTAAGGTCTAAATCCACGCAAGGACTTTGGTGGAATGTACGTCCGTAAGTTCAAGACTGCAAACTTCAGAACCCTTGCCTAATCCTTTAGGCACACAAAGTCTGCTGGCACCTACGTTTTCATCAGTCATGTTCCCTAGATAACTCAAGTTGTGCTTCTGTGCATGCCTAGGACTAAGCCTACTGAGACAGGGTTGAGGAACCTGGCAGGAAAGCCCAATGAGGATCCACAAACTAGGTGTTCTTCCACTTACCTTTTCCCATTCCCACCCACCACCCCAAAGAGACTGGATTATGTAGGTAAGGTCAGAACTTACCTGAAGGAGTACGAACCATACACCACACTGATAACAGGCATTTTAACTCAAACAAACAAACCAAAGTGGTGGAGGTGTTGAACAAGGAACAAACAGTTCTTAGAGCAGAGAACAGAGCTCTTGACCCCTCTTCCAACTGAAGCCCCTACAGACCAGGTGACAGTCATGCTCTCTTTGTGGCTCATTAACGTGTATGCTCCCAGAACCTCCATTTTTGAAAAGGGTGACTTAGGTATCCAACTCCAATACAGTTTTTGACCTAGATACCTCCCAGAAGGCCAGAGTTCAAAGCCAAATTCTACCAGTATTAGGGATTAAAGGCGCATCCCTCTCTTTAGCATTTGCCACTGGATAATGACGGCAGCTCTACAATCAGCCTCCTGGCCATTACAAACCATTACAAATCTGATTCCAAGGCACCTGAGGCCATTCCTATGTGCACTGCTCTGAGGGACAGAACTGGAAGCAGAGTAGCTGCTGCTGTAGGTGGGATGATTAACTTGGAGAGGGGATAATTAGCACTGTCACTCAGGTGTGCAATTTAGCCTTCCCTCAGTGCCCTATAGCAGTGGCTATACTCTTTCCAATTCAGAAGGCAAAATACCTGGACCACTGCTGTATCCTTGAGGGCACCTCTCTCAGGGATACAGAGTTTGCCACGTAAAAGTGCCTTCAGTCTTCCCTTGGTTTGCCTAGATGCACAACTCAGGGCTGTGAACTCCACTCCAAGAGCTAGCTGCCCAATGGTTAGGTGTTGCTATGCTCAATGTTTGTTGTAATACTTAAGCCCTTCATGGATTTAGCCAGAAGCAACTTGCCCTAGGCCATCAAGAGTCTGAGAGAGAACAGGAAACTAAAACATGGTTGCCAAAGTGCAAGTATATTTCCCTGGCCACCAGACAATCATCCTGAAATATAGAAGACAAATACTGTATGGGTCATACCATTAACTTCCTTTAAGGAGTAAGTACTTTCAATAAAGGTAAGTTCACTGCAAGCGCAAAGCCCTAGTTTGTTTAGGCTCTCACAGAACTCAAATATTTTCAGGAAAACTTCACACATATCTGAACTTTTGAAACTTGATGGAATTTGACAGCTGCCATGCACTTGCACTTTGCAGGAGTACATGACCAGCAATCTATACACAGGTCTGAGATAACACAAAATAAGGCTCTTGGCATCTTTTTAAAAAGCTAAGTGTGTGTGTGTATTGTTTTACTCAGTTATTCAATGACCTTTCACACAACAGACCACAGTCTGTTAAGATAAGTTAAATGTATAACTTCCCATCAGTATGCTGTTCTGTCTTTTATGAAATAAGAACATGGGCATTAATTCTGGTCAACTGCTCTGGAGGTAGCAACAACTGGCTGCCTGAAGCAAGAGGCAAGCTCATAGTTTGGAGAAAGTACTGAAATTTCCATCATTGGAGATGAGGGGATACATATCTATCATCTTGAGGCACAATATGCCAACACCTTAATCCTGAAGCTCTGAATAAGGGCCTTGTCACATACTCAGCACATGTTAACTATACTTAAAATGCTAAGGTTCAAACATTCAAGCAGTAAAATACACACCAAAGTGCCACCACAGCATAGCAAATTAGGACTTTTCTGCCCAGGAGTATCGCTAGATTGTATTACTTACCTAACATATGCTGAACTAATATTCAGCTGCTCCAGGGAGTCAATATGATCAAGAGACTTCAGTGCAGTGCTGTGGCTGGGACTAACAAGCAACTGTTTGTTGGTCCCAGACCCGGCACTGCACCAGAGCTAGTTCAAGACTCCCATGCAGCAGGATGCCTGGGACAGACAAACAGCTGTCAGTCCCAGCCTTCCCACCCCACTGGAGCCTCGAACCAGCACTGCAATTCACTGGAGTCTTCAATGACTCCAGCACGTAGGACATGCTTTATTTAGATTGCAGTAAACATTACTGTGCGACTGCTCAGAAACTCTTACTCGCAGTAATGCTTACTGCCTGGACCTACTACTTACTGCCTGGGTCCCCCTAGCCCCAGGCTGTACAGCAAGGAAATGAAAAGTCCCTGCAGTGGCGGTAGCTTTTTGCTTCCCTGCCCCCCTTGCAGCCCAGTGAGTTGGGCAGGGATTGGCTCAGCCTCGCCCTTTCCATAGTTTCCGCCTCCTAGAGGTTGGGAATATACATCCCCCCACTCCTGCTTGAAACTCGCTCCTCCAGGTGGAGTCTGTGG